ATCACTGCACAGAGCTGATGGTGTGTGTGTGTGTGTGTGTGTTGTTGTGGGTTATGTTGCATTAGTGGTGTGGTTTGAGAGAAGAAGGGGGAGGGAGAGAGAGAGAGAGAGAGAGAGAGAGATGGAGACGAAAGAGCAGGGAGAGAAAGCCATAGTAATGCTAATCAGAGGGCGTGATTCGCCTCCCAGGCCCGGCGGCTGCAATCTGCAAGGACTTGGAGGCTTGCATTAATTTCATCGCCGCAGCGCTCCGGCAAGTCTATTTATGAAAAATGCGCTTCCTCGCTTCATGGAAAACACAAGCGGAGAGGAGTGGATGGAGTAATCTGAAAGAGAGCAGAGAATTAACAGAATCTACCGCTTATTCGTATAGATTCTGGTCCCTTCTGGGCAGCATGTGTGCTATCACAAGGCAGTGCTAGGTCTACCATGAGCTGGTGAGGGACCAAAAACTGTAGAGACCACTTTCCAGTTGACTTGATGTTTATATCTTCCCCCGGTGCTGAATGAGACTGAGTTGCATGTTTTCAAACCAGAATGGTTTGTGCACAAGGGATGGCAGAGGGTCTGGAGTGTTGCGTCGAGGCCCATATTTAAAGCTCTCTATTTCTGTATCCGTGCTCAGTATGATCTTTTTGTGTAGAAATGCACCCTGTGAGCATGCAACAGAGAAGAGACGAAGCAGATTTAATCTATTTGTCAAAATGAAGTTCTACTGCCTGGTACAGACACCAGTGGGGAATCTATGAACAACAAGAGACCAATTCAAACGTGAAAGCATAAGAAAGTATATCTTAAACAGCATGGAATGCTTCATGCAAAGAAAACTGGAATCAAAAGTGGTGACTGAACCTCTTCCCATCTCTGTCTCCTAAAAATGCTTATGTGTAAGTGATTTGCTTTGCCATGTATGTAATGCATAATAATCCTTATCCTGCACCTAAATTATATGGAGGAGGTTATGATGACTGGACATATGAAGCACTAACAGGCTGATGATGATGACTGACAGGACTCTAAGTGCTTTCAGTTGCCTAAACATAACCATAAAAACATGCTTTAGTTTCCAGGGGCCTCATTATAGAAAAAAAACCTAACTACTTGTCGTATCTTAACTTAAAGACCCCTTCCAGACATGTATTAAGACATATACAATAGTCTGCTTGAAGCAATTATATGGACACAAGATGTCTCCTACTTCACTGTAAAGTCCATTCTAATGTGCACTGGTAAGCCACCAGTGCACGAGGTTTCTATATCACACTATTGGACCAGGACTGACTTCCAACCAATATATGATGTCACAAATCATGCTTATAGGCCCTGCACCTTAAAATCAGATTTTCTTCTATCTTTTTGGATAGTTTTCGTTCGTCAATTATCATCCCAGGATAATGCAGTCTCAGTCAGGTGTATGACCACTGGCAGACCCCCATGCCTCCTCTCCAGAGCTGGATATAGCACATAGAGCAAATTTAAAATGAATTGCCTTGTCATTATACCCATTAATACATGGTCCAGCAGCGGTTCTGTCTCTCCAAAATGCAGTTCCTGTAATACCAAAAATACTAAACGTCATCCTAAACTGAGGCCCCAGGAGCAGGGCAAAAACAAATTAAATACCTTGACAGTGAACGGTTTGTAGATACAATCAATATAAACGTTCCCTTGTTATTTTAATAGAAGATGCGATCTTGGCAGCGCCACATTTTCTACAGAGCTGTTTTGGAAAGGCGAAGAGACACTAGAATTAGAACATTTCAGGTTTAGGGAGTGACAGGCTTGCTAACATCAAATTTCATGATTTCTAGGACATTGTTTAGTTTTTTCAGAATTTTTTGTGTCCAAAAGGGTAAGATTTCCACTTGCACAGAAAGTTAAAAAAAATAAAAAATATTACCATTAGCTGCCACTTGGGGCCAACAGAGTCCAAAGTTGTCAACTGCAGCTTTAAGATATCAGTGTTTGCTATGCTGATTGACTAGATGTGATACATCAGTAACAAGAAATTTGAAAGAAACTAAGAAAATAATCTCAAGCAATTGGACATGTTGAGAAATGGCTCTTTACTTATTTCCTCTCCTGACCAGTGGCAGTGTTACCTGACTCTGGTTGAGAAGAATAGTTAGAATTGCACAGTTAAATCTGCCCTATTGTATGTTGTACAAGAATTAGAGGAAGAGTAAAAAGTCCATGCAGCAAATCTATCAAGATAGTGAAGAGAGTATCTTCGATGTTACTTCTGCACACTTTTGTGGAAGTGCTAAGTTTGACAGTCATGGTTGGTTGCCATAATTAAGCCTAAGTGTTCTCCAAATTAGATCTTGTAGTGTTACAGCCACACATTGGTTAAAATGACCTGCCGTTGAGCTTCAGAGGTGTTGCAAATTCTCTGTTTTTTATCCACTTTTAACACCATCAGCACGTGGCCTGCATACAGTTTTTGAGCGACTATAAGTGTTCTCTTGTGAATGACTGTCTTTTCAATCAAAGCTTTTACAGGAGGGACTGAGGTTGGGAAGTTTATGTAACTGCTGACGTCAGGGTCCAAACAAATATGGCTACATGGAGCAAAGCAACACAGCTATAGAGATTGTTGCAAACTGCCTGAGTTGGAAACGTGCCCCCTGTGATATTTAAGGAATGGGTCAATGCTTCTCATTGTCCTTTTTGCCATTCTGATGTAAAAAAAGATGTGAGGAGGCCTGACCAGCTACCTGCTACTCACCAACATAGCAGTCTTCTATGTTGACAGCAAATTGTTGTTAGAGAAACTGTGCTCTGACACTGCTTTTAAACACATAAAGCACCCTATCTTCCAACCATGAATGTGATCTCTCTGTAACTGTAACCAGGTAGGTTTAGTTGCCTAAACTTAACCAAACTTTAACCCTAGAAGTGGTGGATCAGGAAATATTCATATGGGTTAAGGCAAAATACATCTCCATGGCTTCCCTTTCCCTTCCAAGTGCAAAGAAGAAACTATGGTGGCCACAAAACACATGAAAAACGCAGATATATCTAGAGCCAGTGTTTGGTTTGTCCCTTCTGGACCACTGTAGAAACATGGCGGTTCAACATTGCAGCCTCTACCGAAAGTGAACCTGGTGTCTGTACATAAAAACGGCTCATCCTGTGGTCACAAAAGCACAACAATTCTTATTTTCAGGTAATTATGCGCTAATGAAAACACAATATTATGTTCAATTTCTGCCAATAGATCCTCCTAAATGTTACACACTGGACCTTTAACTAAAAATGGCTTAATCAGGCTGCTAATTATTGGTGTGTTTGCATCAGCTCTCTGCTGGTTCGAGCTGTTGGAAAGCTACAGTCTGATTTGTTTGGATCCAACACAGGAAAACACAGCGGAGGAAAATGAGGCCTCCCGTTTCTTAATTATTTAAATCAAACAATTAACTACGGCTGTCCTGGGAAAAGCTCTTTTATCCGCTCATCCACAACAACAACAGCCACTATCCTGGGTGGAGTCTGAAGGAGGACGGATCACATGGAAAACACCAACCAATAGAGGAAAACACAGTCCTTTTTTTTGGTAGTTTTTAATTATTAAACCAACTATTTTGGACTGTTCAGGTGATGTGCAGTACACACGCTGAGGCCAGGCACTTAAAAAAGCACCACAGATGTATCTAAAATCACAGCATCCTATTGTTTTAGTGCATTTTCTGTTTCAAAATCACCACAGAGGGCTTGTCTAGTGAAACTTACAGCAATATCAAATATGTGTTAAATATACTTGAAACACATTGGTGGTTAATGTTGTGGAGGCTGACCAAAAGAACAGGCTAATATATAAATATAGTGTTACCAAGGATGATAAAAAAAACTGAAATAAAGTCACTTTAAATGATAAATAATCTCTACTTACCTATAGAAATATTTGGGGATATTGTAGTAATATTATAGCTTGTCCTTATTTTTTTGTGCTGTGTATAATTTGCATCCCATCACTTTGTCTCAGGAAAGCTTGATACACTGTTCACATTGATTACACGGTCAATTATATATAATTTATAGGCTTCAACTGGAGAGCCGCTCCACGATTAAACTTTGATGAAGGCATGTACTACATTCTTTGTTATAGACCAACATGCCAGCCACTGTCTGGTAGGCAAAAAATATCTGTAAATATTGACAAATGCGCAATACAGAAGTCGATTTTTTGCTCCTCTGAACTTAAAATATGAGAACGATCCATCAATAAGCTAAAACATATTACACATTCGGAAAAAGTCAGATAGAATGAAATATATCACACTTAATATTTTAAATTTGGATTGAATAAATATTAGTCCAATACTTTGAGAATGAATATCAAAGTTAATATTTTTTTATAGTATGTGTAGAATTTGGAACAATTATTTAGAGGAATTTATAATATTATTTGTATTATTATTATCATTATTGCCTTTTAATTAGAATTTTCCCTTTAGCCTAATGTCATTGTTTTCCTTTTTAGGTTAGTTTATTAGTTTATTAGTTTAGTTTACTCTTTATTTGCTGTCATATTAAGTAATTTTTGTCTTCACCTGATGGCCTTTCAAAGACTCCAGTATTATTTTATTTTTTTAAAGAGTCCCATAAGGGAAGGTTTGTCTTGTCAGTAGGCTTACTTTGTCTAATGCATGTGCAGATTCTAAGTAATCTTTGTTTCTTTGCAGAATTATCATCCAAACCAGTGGAACAGACCTTTCCCCCTCAGAAGGAGACCATTACAGCTCTTTACAGCGGATCAGTTCACCCTAAACTGGAAAGTCACTCTTTATCTCCCAACTGTCAGAACTGAGGAGCAAACTTACATGACGTCACTCATCCACTGATAAACTTTGACTTTAAGCTGTTCTTCAATTTGCTGGTAACCCCTTTCGGATCCTCCATCAGCCCCACATTGGCACCCGTTGCTTTAAAGGCCTGTATTGGGTTGCTCCGAGGGGATCAGGGCCCGAGCTGCTGTTGTACGACAGAGTAAAGCAGCTTCTTAACAAACACACGCAAAAATCAATAGTATCATAACAGCCGATATTTATTATTCATTAATAACGAGTTTATGGGCCGAAACCACCTGCTGAGCTGAGGAGAGAGGAGAATAAAAATTCTAATATCAATAAAATTCACTGTAGGTACACAGTGTATAAACTGACACGTTGATGTTTAAATTGAAACTTTCACATTCCCAGTCTATTTCCAGATGCTACCATTTTGTGATTGCATTAATCATTTTGTGTTTTCAGAATACCAGAGTCCTTGAAGGTGTCAGGTTGTTCCTCTCTGCCAGAAGACTGTAAAAAGTGAGTCGGTGCAGATTCATCCACCGGTATTTATCTCAAATCTCAAATGTTTAAGGTCTACATTTTCAACATTTATGATTTATTTCCCTATTTGACTCCAAATGTTTCTCTTAATGTGTCACATAAAGCATCTTTTAGTAGAGTAACAGCTGGGTTTAAATCTGCTGGAGCCTCCTCTGCCTTGTACTTTCTGGATAAAGCCTCATGGGCAGAGGAATAATACACAAGTGTATTTCCCCCCCACAATTCACCGCTTTAAAAATGTAAAATAAAGTTATTTTATAGTTAATTAATTAAGAAAGCTGGCACTTTAAATATGAAGCTGATGTAAGTGAGAAGGGGGAACACATTCACATTGTCATCATTACACTGCAAAGTGACGGTTTTATCTTGAATGAACTGATTTCTTGGATTCATGTAAGTTTACATTCTCAAATTTACACATTCTGGTGTTTTAGAAACTGATTGCTGATAGTTTTGGAGTCAATCTGTTTAAATTTAACTACTTTTAGGCCAACATAGTATGAAAATGATGAAGACGCTAACATTTCCCTTCCAGAATTGCATTACTGAAGTGTCATTGAAGGCTTTGAAACATCATTTTAGACCTTCATGTTCATGCTGAGCAGTTGAGCAGTTAACTGAACTTTCATTTATGGTCACACTGTTGGGGGTGTGTCCAGGGGTCCATGAGCGCTCTAAATTCTTGAATAAGATGCTTTTGCTCTGGTCTTTTATGTTTTTGGTGAAATGAGGACAATATATGTCTCTTTGTTTCAGTCTTAAAACATTTTACTGTGCTTAAAACATGTTTAAACTGCCTAAACTAAAGCATGAGGGACAGAAGACCTGGTCATATCTAGTTCACTTTCTTTAGTTCTCATTGGTCACACAAGTTTACAGATATCCTAGCTGGAGTGGAAAAAGAAAGTTTTTTTTTATTTCTTGTAATTTATTCAGTCAGTTTCTAACTTTGAGAACCAGCAGCTCTTTGTTGGCTCCGCCCTCTGAGGCTTCATATTTTCTGCCTCAGAGAAAACGTTTGTTGGAACTAAAAGCATCAGATACAAGACCTGCCTGCGTATTCCTTGATGTGATAGAGCCGTGTAGTCTTCATACCCAGCAAAGTTGATCAATATTAGAGTCACTCAAGTATCAAATCCTATTCATCACCGCTGGGAAGCAGCTTTCAGACGGACCTCCTTCACCTCCAGGCTTCTCCTGTTTCAGAACAGCAGCTGCCCTCCTCTCTGCGCAAACGCACACACACACACACATTGCCACCCCGTCCATTAAAATCTATCTTTCAAAAGAAAACGACTTAATTAACACCTTCTAACAAGCCAAAAACACAGGCCTGCTTAAAAAAGCTGATCAGTGTTTTATTTTAAATGGTTAAGAACCAAAAGCTGTTGTCACGTTGCCTACTTTTCGATTAAAACGGAACAATAATATCATTTTTACCCCAAAACTTGCCGTTTTGTTGATTTCGATTTTGTTCATTTTCCAAAGAAAGGCTGTCAGAGGATGAAGTAAAACGTGCACGGTTTATTTCAGCTTCTGTCGCTTACACAGACACATTTAAAGCACACTTTCACAAATGAAAAATGTATTTTTTTTTCTCCAAAATAAATTAAGTTTAAATAAATAAGGGCAACATAAAGAAAATAAAACAAAACTTAACGTTTCAAGTGTTAAGTGTTGAAAAAATATGTATAAATAAGGCCGACTATTTCCCCTTGTCAGAATATCTACAAAGTGCGCTCCACAAAGGTGTCAGTGATAATAATAATAATAATAATAATAATAATAATAATAATAATAAGCAAAATATTCATTTTCA